CAAGAGCATAAATAATGGCTCAGAATTAAGAGAGACTGTGATGGGCCTGGGAAATTGCAACAGTTCAGCATGCCTGGAGTGTACAGTACCAAGAATATAATGTCAAGAGATGGGGCAGCCCTAGCTGGAGCAAGATCATGTGAAGGCCTTGAATGCCACAATAAAGAGTTTGAGTAAATRCTCTTTCAAAATGGGAAACTGGTGAGGAATTTAAAGTAGGGGGCTAACAATGATCAGGTTCATGCTTTAGAAATATCACTGTGACCTTAGTGCAGAGAATAAATTGGAGGAATTCAAGATCGAAAACAAAAAGATAAATTAGTRACCCACATTAAAATGAAATGACACAAAAAAGTAGTATAGTGAGGTAGCATTTACAGGACTAACTCATGAATCGGATATGGGTAGAAAAAAAAGACAACAGGTAAGAATGATGTTGAGATTGCTAKTGTGGCTATGGTGGTGGCAAGCCCTGATAGAGGAGACTGGGAGCTCATGGGATGTAAAGGAAGGGTATGCAGAAAAGTGAGATGATGAGTTCAGTTTAGAGTTTAGACATTTTTAACTGTACTCTAGGATTCTAAATGAGTTTGTTAGACTGTTGAACATTCAGATTTCATATTCAGAAGAGATTTATACTGGATATTTAGGCATCATCAGCAAATATATAATAGAGTGATAGAAACCACAGGGTGACAGATAACCCATTGAAAATGTAGTGGGGGTGGATAATTATGGCTCTGGAGTTGTAAGCCTGGGTGGGGTCCACCTTACTTAGCCAAAATTATTAAAATCAACAAATAAGTACCTGCCACCTTTTTGTGTGCATTCTGCAGTCTGTTCAAAGTTGAGTAGTCCTTACATGACTGGAAGCTCCAGTATTCATTTTAGTCCTCACTTTATTATATCTCTATAAATATTGTTGCTGGTCTTATGYCAGCTAGACTCCCTGTGGTTGATTACAGCTGGGGAAATTACAGGGCCATATTGTGGACAGAAGCTGCTGCCATTGATTTGACATTGGGAACTTTGCCTATACAACATATGATATAACAGGACAAAGAAACAGGAAAAGCAGACACACAAACTTTCTATTTGATTGGACAATATGGCCCCAGACAGCTTTTGTTATTTTATATTATTTAGAGCAAGACTGGAGCKAAATACATAGGTATCTGGGCAGAGTAATCATCTTATCTCTTTAATAATTATTTAGGAAGGGAAAGAAGAAATAGATATATTCTTAAAGATTGTGTATCTCAGGAAAGATAAACATCCCATGATCTCACTCATGTGGAATCTAAGAGTGGATCTGAGAGAAGTTGAGAGTAGAATAGAAGTTACTAGAAACTGGGGAGAGTAATGGGAAGGAGAGATGGGGAGAGGCTGGTCAACAGGTACCATGTTACAGATAGATAGGAAGAATGAGTTCATAAGGTAAATATAGTTAATAATAATGCATCATATGTTTCATGATAGATTTTGGTAGAAGATTTTGAATATACTCACTACAAAGAAATAATAAAAATTTAAGGTGATATGCTGATCACATTGATTTTTTTCATTACCCAATGTATAAATCTCATGTGCCTCAAAACATGAAGATATCATACAAATAAAAAAATTAACATTAATAAAAAAGAAAGTCAAAAGTGTGCATCTYGGGCTGGGGCTGAGGCTCAGTGGTAGAGTGCTTGCCTAGCATGCATGAGGCACTGGGTTCAATCCTCAGCACCACATATAAATAAATAAAGGWATTGTTATCTACTTACATAAAAAAGTGTGCATCTCTTTATGTTAATAAAGAAATAATTAAATTTATTTATTGCATGTGATTTTTGAAACAAGAAAACTTCTTCAAACACWTATTGTGCTAACAATCACATAATAAAATATTTCATTCATTTTTGATAAACAGCTTCATGCTAGCTTAGTTATGTCATGACATTTCTTCTACCACATTTTATTCATTTGAAACAAGTCACTAAGTCCAGCCTACTTTCAAGCAGAGACTTAGATCCTACCTTTTGGTGGGAGGAAAGTCACTGAAATGGCAGGTGTGTTTTAAATCACTAGCCTGAGGGGAAAAAAGAGTCCATTTTGGAAGATTTATCTAATTATTTTTACTACTGTCTAAAATTTGTCTTTCTCCCTTCCTTCTCTTTCTCCTTTCTTTCCTCCCTCTGTCACTCCCTCCTTTCCTTCCTTCTATTCCCTTTCCTTCCCCTCTTTCACTGAGTGCCCAGCTAAGGAAGCTCTGTGACTATTAATGCAAAATGTGCCCAATAACCTCTATTATATGCCTTCATCTGAAGTGATGTTCAGCTGCTCTCATGCTTAGAGTAAGTGGATTGTTGAGTTTAAACCAGGTTAGATGAAAACAATGGAGGAAGAGAGAGAGGTAATGTCAAGCATATTTTAAAGAGGGAACTGTAAAGTTGGATCTGGACTCAAGCTGGATTTTGATGGAAATATGTAGGATAGAGAAATGACTGATAGTAAGAAAGTAAGAGGGGCCAGTAGATTGGAGTTCTTGGTGGGAGTCAAAGGAGTGATGGTTGTGGGAATKTTAATGTAAGAGAGATGAATAGATGGGAATTAGTGATCATACAGAGCAACAGAGTTGTTATGTGTGTTAATTAGTGAATGGTATTCTTACACAATTATGTTTTAATCATTACTTATTTTCTTCTATCACTAGAATATTACTCTAGTGATAGAGTTACCATAAACTTCAAGGGACTGTAAATATTTTGGAATAAACTGTCTGGTTAAACAGTAGACAAGAGTCTATTATATTAGTAAAAAAATTCTACATAAGAAATCCAAGAGAGCTGGGTATAGTGGCACACACGTGTAATCCCAGCAGTTTGTGGGGCTGAGACAGGAGGATCAGCTAGTTCAAAGCCAGCCTCAGCAAAAAGTGAGGCACTAAGCAACATAGTGAGGCCCTGTCACTAAATAAAATACAAAATCGTGCTGGGGATGTAGCTCAGTCATTGAGTGCCCATGAGTTTTATCCCTAGTACCCAAGGGGGGGGGGAAGAATTCCAAGAAAAAGGATATGGCATATGCCATTAATAAGCAAGTTTATTATTATTTCTTTTGGAGTACCAGGGATTGAACTTGGGGGCACTTGGCCACTGAGCCACATCCCCAGCCCTTTCTGTACTTTTATTTTGAGACAGGGTCTCACTGAGTTGCTTAGCGCCTCACTTTTTGCTGAGGCTGGCGTCGAATTCGTGATCCTCTTGGCTCAGCCTCCCAAGCTGCTGGAATTACAGGTGTGCTCCACCATGCYTGGTCCATAATAAACAATTTAAAATTAAGTTTTGAAAACCAAGCAAAAAAGTCACTTTTATAACCCTGATATGATTTGGATCTGGAAATGTCCCCCAAAGGCTCATGGGTTGAAGGCTTGTTTCCCAATGCAGCAATGTTCASAGTTGAACCATTGGGAAGTKATTGGATCAGGGGGCTCTGATCTCATCAATGAATGGACCCTCATGAGGTGATAGAAACTGTAGGAAGTAGGACCTAGTTGAAGAGAGTGTGTCCCTTGGGAGTGTGTCCCTTTTCTTATCCTGGGGCCCTTTCTCTCTCCCTGCTTCCTGGCTGTAACTAGGTGAGCAACTTGTCCTTTGCTATGCCCTTCTACTATGATGGTCTGCCTCACCTCAGGTCCAGGGCAATGGAGCCAGTGGACCTTGGACTAAAACCATGAGTCAAAATATATTTTATCCTTTAAGTTGTCTTTCTCACCTACTTTGTTACAGCTGATCAACACACACCCTATGCACCGAGACTGTTTCTCATATTGTCTGAAAATAAATCTTGTGTCTAGAAAGACAGAAGGGTGTGTGCTTTGAAGTACATTATCAACAGTGATTAATAATGTGTCAGTTGTAGGCATGACTGTTCTGATGTATTATAAAGAGAGACGAACACGGATACAGTAAAAAACAAAACAGGTTTAGAATTGAAATACATATTATATAATCTTTTATACTTTACAAAGTACTTTCACATTCATTAACTGGTTTGAAAACAATACCTAGTTCGCTGCATCTTTTCAAAGGATCTGAAAGTACTTTCCAGTAACCTCTTCATTCATTGTCTGGTAGACTTCAAGGTTTATTTCCCCCTCCTCCCCATGTTAGTTCCATCATTCACTCTCCTTCCTTAATTATGCAATATTAAAAACGTTTTTTTCCCTGTCCAGGGTGAAAATTGGGCCCCTTGATTTGTGAATATTGACAGAACGCTACAAAGCAGTAGCTTTGATTTTCAAGTTTAAATAATGACATTGAGCCTAAACGTCAATTGCATGTCCAAGTCTTTTTCTAGCACCTGTTTAGCAGCGACTTCATTTTTTTTCTTAATCTGCAAAATACAAGTCGACTTACTTCATATATCTACCAGCAGAATAGGATTTAAAATTCCTTACAAGAAGCTGAGAAGATCCAAAAAGAATAAGACCAAACTTCTCTTGTCAATTCAAATTACAGCATTTTTAAAAATCCCTTTTCCTGATCCTTTGCTGACTTTTAAACTGCAATTAGAAGCAGGAAGGGAGCAGGGAAAGGAAACCAGGGATTGGAAAAGCAGAGGAAAGCCCAAAAGATCCTTTAAATRGGAGAAGGAACCGGAAGGGGCTCACTGACAAATTTTGCAAAACTGCCCGAAGCTCAGTGGAAGGTATCATATCTGTGTATACTCCTCTAGCCCGGGTCAGGGACATCCCAGGCGGACCTTTGGAAGGACGCTGTCGACGGGAGGGCGCGGACCTCTGACGGAGCACAGGCGTTCGCACAGCTGCCCTAGCGTCCTCTGACCCGCCGGAAGAAGCCGCGGCGCCAGCGTCCTGCTGCCTGTCCGTCACGCAGCCGCCCACGCTCCCTCCGCTTCCGATTGGCCACAGACTCGGGCCGGCCCCCTTCCAGCCCCGCCCTTAGCGGACGGACAGGCCGTGGGGCGGGGTGGCAGCGGCTCCGCCCCTCGGTAGCCGCGGGCGGGCCCGCCCAGCTGTCAGTTACGGGGGCGGCCCGGCAGGCGGGCGGGCGCTCSCCGGCTACCTCGCGTCGCTCGCTTGCTCGCGCTCGCTCCCTCTCGTCGCCTGTGGGGAAGTCGGGGCAGCCTGAGCGGCCGCAGCCACCATCTCGCCCCGATCTTCTCCCTTGTCCCCTCCCGGTCCGAGTGCCCCCGAGTAGTGAGTAGCCCGCGTAGGGTTCGGAGAGTCACYGCGGCGGCGCCGGGTGGTGTTAAAACCATGTTAAGGAGGATTTTGCAGAGGGTAAGAGAGTGAAACCGTCTTTCCGGCAGCACGTGAGCGGGAGAGCCCGGGGCCGCGGGCGCCGCCGCCGCGCTGGGAGCCCAGGCGGCGGCGCGGGCGCCACCTCCTCAGGGCGGGCTCCTTCCTTCTCTAGGCCCCGCAGCCCGGCAGGCGCTTAGGCCTGCTCGTCCGGCCCGGGGGCTGGTCGCGGGGCGGGTGGGGCACGGCGGGCGGCCGGCCGGAGACCCCGCGGCCCGACGCCCGCTCGCGCTCTGGGCTGTCACTGCGAGTCCGAGGGTGTGGTGCCGGCGCGTCCCTCCCGGAATCCCAGGATGGGAATGAAAATGGAGAGTTTGTGCCTGAGCGACGGGCGGGCCAGCCGCCTGCCCGCCTGGAGAACGCCCCGTGGGAGACTGCGGGCGGCTTGCCTGGCCCTTCCCACCCTCCCCGCCCACTGTGCCCCTCAACTGGACGCGACACGCACCTGCCACATACAACTCGCCTCCTTTCTCTTCTGGACAGCATTGGAGGGTAACGTGAGACCTGGCCTAGCGTGGGCCTGATCGTGGGACTGACACTTACTGGCAAAGTCAGCTGAGACGAAGATATTACTCACTGTTGGAAACTTTTTTTAAAATTAAAAATGCGTTTTCCCCTCCAAGCTCCAGTACCTTATTTTAGCTATCCAAGAATAAAATCACTGTAAGCTTTATCAAATGGTATACACTTCAGTTTTTGCCAGTGCTTTCTTTACTTGAAGTCTGAAAAACCTTGATAATAAGAACGTTAGAAAGCTGTAAATGTTTTGTTTAGGAATCAGTCCCTAGAATAACATGATTAAAATCTCTTTTTAAGTAATAGTTACTGTACTGAAGTTTTTTCATACCTTTTCCCTCTTTGATAGACTGATGGAGTATAAAAAAGTATAAATGATGGAAATCTAGGTGTCAACCCCCTTAGTTGGTTACCTAGTGAGTACAATAGCTAGAGAAATTAGTGAATTTGTAGTATTTACTCAAGGCATGTGTCAAAGAGAGTTGAGTCATTCATTATATAGAAAGGGAGTGTTGCTTCTGCACAGCTTTTCTGAAATGTTGAAGTCATGTGAGACTGGATCATATATTCTGGGAGAAATAGTTAACTTTTATATCTCACTCGCTGTATTAACACTTTGATTTTCTGCAGTGGTTTTGTCTTGATAAATACTGATTTGGAGCAGCAAGGGCATGCTTTTTGCTCTCCCCATCATTTCCTTTGTTCAACAGTGAAGACATCTAGCCAGGCACCAGTGGTGCATGTCTGTAATCCCAGCAACTGGGGAGGCTGAGGCAGGAGAATCACAAGTTCGAGGCCAGTCTCAGTAATTTAGCAAGGCCCTATGCAAGTTAGCGAGACCCTGTCTCAAAATAAAAAATTAAAAGGGCTGTGGATGTGGCTCAGTGGTAAAGCAAGACTGGGCTCAGTCCCTAGAACCAATAAACAAACACACACATACACACACACACACACACACAAACCAGTAAATACATCTATCTGTTCATGACTTACTTCAGTATGTAAGAGATTTTTCTTTTATCAGACCTGGAAGAACTGATTACCTCATGCCTCAGATTATGTTTCTGTCATATTTCCTATGAGTGAAAATTATTTTGCCTGTGGTTTGCTTTAAGGTTTATAAATAAAACTGTTCTGATCTGGGAATACTTCTGGTAGTTAAAAGATTAGTTTTCAAGAAATACGGGATGCTGGGGCTTGGATTGTGGCTCAGTGGTAGAGCACTTGCCTTGCAAATGTGAAGCACTGGATTTGATTCTCAGCACCGTGTATAAATAAATGAATAAAATAAAGACCCGTCAATCACTAAAAAAATTAAAAAAAAATGGATGCTTTCTAGGACTCTTAGCTTCATGCTGTTGAGCACTGAGGTTATATAAAGATGATTTTTAGTGTCGGTGTGTATATATCAACCCTTAAAGAAGTTTCAATAGAAATGGCAAAATAGGAATTTATTATAGTTTTGCTGAGATGTGATGTCACATCATTTTTGAATAAGTCAGTTGACCGCTGAGTTTCTTAACCTTGGCATTATTGACATTTGTGACAAGATAATTCTTTGTTGTAGAGGCCTGCCCTGTGCAGGACAGTTAGCAGCAGCCCTGGTTTCTGCTCACTAGATGCTCATTGCATTTCCTCAAATCCCTTCCTCCCCTGTGACAACCAAATTTTTCTATAGACTTATACTAAGTATCCTGTGAGAACCACCCTGTTAAATGTATGTGTTCTTCAATAGGAAGGTTTGAAGTGTTTCTCACAGTTAACTTTCTTTTGTTCAGTGTACTTATATTGGGTTTCAGTAAATGCCAGGTATTATGCTAGGAACTGGGAAACCATTTAATAAGATACAGCTTCTCCCTTTAGAACTTACAGCCTGATTGGCTGGCAGGTGGACATTTGAAGTAATTGCAGTGCTACATGGGTCTCTTTGTGGGAGGGTGTTGAGGCAATAAGGAAAAGCTTCAGGGAGTAGAGCATATTTACAGCTCAGGAAGAAGGGGCATGTTGGACAGAAGGAAGGGAAAATGTAAAGGCATGAAGTCAAAGGGAACCTTTGAGCAATTATGCTTTGGATTGGTGGAAGATGAGGCTACTGGTAACTAGGGACCAAATTATGAGAGGACYTACAGTCCCTTTGAAGGAATTTATCTTCTAGATGGGTCGGTGTTAATGCTCAGTATTTAATAGGAACATTTTGATAAATTCTTAAAGCTTGTGATTTCTATTACAATTTAGAGTCTAAAATGCATATTAACTTTGCAGGTAGTATTTACTAACAAGTGTAACTTGAATTTTTAAAATTATGTGACATGGCACCATTTTATTTTATCCTATCCTGATAATGTTATTTCTTGGCATAGGTATTAGGATGTATAATTGAAATTGTAGTTGATGATTTAGAAGTTTGAAATGSGCTCCATGTTTTGAAATAATATTGCATTTCTTTAACAGTCTATTTTAAGATGACCTTTTTATTTTAACTAATATATATATTTATTTTTTTCTGAACAATGTCCTTTAAATAACATTTGTGAAAGAAGAAAGAGACAAAGTATTTATAATTGATTATAACTCACAGTATTTGAATGTTACCAATAAGGTCCCCAGGGTACTTTACAGAAATTTGGTTTGTGCTTTTCTTTCTCCTCTTCTTCCTCTGTCTTCTCCTTCTCTTTCATTAGCTAAGTTAAAAAAGATGTCACCCTGAGACTTCCAAACATCTGGGAAAATAATGATCATGATAATGAGATACCTCCAATGTGTATATATTCAATATTTTCTTAATAGCTCTATGAAGAATAACCTGAATTTAAAGTTCTTAATGGCCAAAAAGATGGTCAGCATTTGTACCATAGGCAGTTTATAAGCTTCACTGCTTATAAATTTACTGTGATTTAATGGTAGTGTGTTAGTTTTCCTTTTGTTGGGAAATGTAAAAAATTCTGCTAAAGAAAGAATGGATTTTTTTTTGGTGGTGCTTGSGATTGAAGAACTAATTTAATTATTCCATAGTTGTAGAAGTGGAAGGACTTCTTTTATGGACATTAGGTTTGTCTTTCTGATTTTAAAAATGAGGAAATAGAAACTGAATGAAATTAGGTGATTTACCTAAGACAACGTAGTAGATGTCAAAGGCTGCTAGAGAATGCAGCCATATTTTCCAACTCCAARTTAATTTTCCTTTTCCTAGCATCTTCCTTTCCCTTGTCCACCACTGCTCCACTGATGTTGTTAGCACTGTGCTAGTTMCTGTGAAGGGTAGAGGATAAAGACCTAACTTGTGCCTCAACTTATGTTGTGCTAAAGTAAATAATAGAGTTAATGAAGACTGTAGTAGTACCAAGAAGGAAAAGTCAGAATGAACTTGTGTGTGACCTTGGGGGATATTGGCTTGAGGTGGGGTTTTAAAGAATGTATGTGATTGAGAGGGGAAGATAAACGTTGCACTGCAGCAAGGAGTTATGGTGTAAAAAAGATTCAGAACTGGAAATGTGTTCATTCCTCCTGCTCTCCTTTCATTAGCATCATACCTGTTAGCAATATTTATAAACTGGTTTTGTATTAGATACTGGGGCTATAGCAGCACACATTCTGTACCCTGATGTAGCTTTAAATCAAGTGCTTTTTAGAGATAGAGGTGTATTTAAAGCAGAAAGAAATTGAGACACAAATTTGCAGATTGTGAAACCTAACATTGTGGAGTTGCTTGATTGCCTAATTCAGCTGTATCCAATGCAAACRTGAGTCATGTAAATTAATACTGCTAGTTGTCATGTTTTTTAAAAAAGGAAATGAAATAAAAATGTTGTTTCCTTTAGCCAACTTTTTTTTTTTTTGGTACCCGGGGTTGACCAGGGGCACTTGACCACCGAACCACATCCCCAGCCCTATTTTGTATTTTTTTTTAGAGACAGGGTCTCACTGAGTTGCTTAGTGTTTTGCTTTTGCTGAGACTGGCTTTGAACTCAGAATCCTCCTGTCTCAGCCTCCCCAGCCGCTGGGATTACAGGCTTGTACCACCAGTCCCAGCCTATTGTTAACATTTTACCCTATTTACATTTTTGTTTGCTCACTCCGTTCTTTCACTCTCCCTGTGTGTATGTGGTGTATTTTTTTGAGCCATTTGAGAATCAGTCATGGCCCTTCACCTTTGAGTACTTCAATGAAGAATAGAAATATTTTCTTATATAACTGCAGTCTGGTTGTTAATGTCATGAATTGATACAGTGATTCAAGTCACTATCCATAATTTCATATGGTGCGTGCGTGCGTGTGTGTGTGTGTGTGTGTGTGTGTGTGTGTTATGGAGAAGTGAACCTAGGGGTGCTCTACCACTAACTACATTCCCTAGCTGTTTTTTTTTTTTTTTTTTTTGAGACAGGGTCTCATTAAGTTGTTGAGACTGGTCTTGAATTTGTTATTCTCCCACTAAAGCCTCCTCATGAATTACAGGGATTACAGGTGTG